AACACCTTCATGCAAATCCATGACACACAGCATTTAGGTAGGGTTTCCCTGAAAAAGAGTACTGTGTATCTATGCTCTGGTTTCCAATACAATTGCAGGTATGACTCAGAACAGAGATTTTTATCATTAATTCTCAATTGTGTCCCTGTGGTGAAATCTCTCAGTTGTTAGATTTGTGCTTTCACATAGAATAAATTATTTCTGTGCAAGAAGTCTGGCCAATTGGATTTTGTCCAGTTGGAGTCTTGGTTGTGTCTGCTTGCGCAAAGCACCACCCCAATACTGATGCTTAGTCTGCACTTGTAAGAGCTGAGAGAACCTTTGGGGGAGGCTCTTTGCGATAGTAACTCCAATGCACCAGCAGTGTAGCTAGAGGAAAAGCATCTAACATCTCCATCTTATCATAGCTTTCAAGTGAAACACTGACATGATGTGTCTGTTTTTTCCAAGTGATTTTCTTGTATGAAACCTTCATTCTATCCAAAACAATGCTTCAAGAAGTCTTTTATATTGCTATAAATCAGAAATGACTCAAGACATGAAGAGAATTAAAGTGTCAGTGGTGAATCATATGAGCAAGTCAACAGTGTCAAAGCAAGAAAAACATGTATTGCAAATGGGTCACATGGAGCCCTGCAAAAAAGTTTTGATTGAACATATTCTTTAAATTTACCTTCAGAGATCCTTTGAACAACATTCTATTTTAAAAAGTCTTTAATCTAGGCATAGAGAAGAAAAGCATTTGGAAAGCCTGATGAGCAGCCATTTACAAGAATTGTCCAATCATTTTAAAAAATTGGTTCAAATATTGTGAAATACATATAGCAGCTTATCTGGTTAACAGAAGATACAAACAATTCTCTCTATTTCCCTCTTACGGCAGTGTGTATGTCTTTTACTGGTTTAAAGCTAGTATTTGAAATACCAAAGGGTAAATAAGACAGGCTTTGTAGGTGGAATGGAAAGTGCATTGTCAAGGGACAAGCATAAGAGCAGGCAGTTACTCAGCAAATACTCTGTCAAGGTCCTGGGCTGACAGGTGATGATTGGAGAACCGATTCTACGCTATCAGCTGTGTTTAAGCAAAATCTGATCTTAGTACCTTGTTTTAGCTAAAACAGCTTACGATTCAGTTGTCGTACCAACTTTTTACATTGAGTTAGTAAAACAAACAGAACAGAAACAGGAAGCAGGGTTCTTGCAGTGCTGCATTTCACCTAACTCCCAGATGAATATATCCATCCCCGCTGCCCTTTGCGTTAGAGAGAATTGGTATAATTTTCTCTTACCCATTAGCCATGCCAGGAAGAAGTTTTCTCTTAGCAAATACACTGAGCAGGGATAAGGCAACCTGAAGCCCAGCAATCCTCCTGGTAGTCCAAGGCACAGAGGTGCCTCCCTCTTACGCTCGCTTGCCTGCTGAGGACTGTCACTCAGACTGACAGGCAGCACGGGCAGGCAAGGGAGAGGCAGGAGGTGCCAAACCCCACAAGAAGACGTGGAGTGTAAGGATTGCAGCGTGTCTCACGCCTCTCAGCGCAGGCACGCTCAGACCAGGAAGTCAGAGCCACCTCTGCCAGGCTCCTGCTTCACCTTATCTCCCCGACACCCAGCATGGCAGGGGGAGGACAGGCGGCGACGGCGGGCGACGCACGGCCACCTCTGCCTTCTCCTACCTGGGTCTGCAGATGGTCCCAAGATCAGACACGAGTTGCGCCATGGCATCTGGAGTAATGTTGGGTTATTTGCTGACAGATTTTAGATCTCTACATGCATTTTGGGCTCAGAAATAAGCACTTCAAGTCTGAAAGCCTTGCCTGAGATGGACAGGCCATTCTAGCCTTGCTGTTCTAGATATGGTTGTTATTTGACAATAGAAAGGAAGACAGTAAATCAGATAAAAAAAAATTATAGGTGGAGGGGAAAAAACCAACAACACATGCTTCTTTATTTACAGCTGAAATTGCTAGTTGTGACCTTGTAAATATTAGAAGGCATTATAATCAGGAAATGTTTTACAAAGGCAGCACCTTTGCATTGCACCCCTGGAAGCAAGTGGCGGCAGGTGCTGGTAAGTGCAGACACCCATTCCACTGCCTGCCCTGGAAGCATGCATTCATTATGTGGCTGAATTAACCTTCAGGTGGTTTAAAGCTTATTTCTGTTCAATTGATACTTCTAAAATTTTCTTCTTCTTCATAATTAATTCCTGATAAACATAGCTTTAGGTTTAAACTGCATGTATGTATACACAGAAGCCAAAATGGGTTGATGTTAGGCTCCCAGTTATACAAATGGTTCTGCACTTCTGGTCCATGTATCCCTTCAAAGGATCATATTAGAGCCAAACACAGCTCTCAGTAATGCAAATTCCTGTCATATGGAATTGCACAGGGGACAAGACATGCAGCTAGCTCACTAAAACACTTAAAAGGGAAGCTTCCTTCTGACACTGGTAAGGGAAGTTAATATTATCTCAAAGTTGAATAGTCTTACTTTTAACAGAAATTTTCTTTACTGTTTTCTGTTAGTATTTATTGCAGTTCTGGATAAGCAAGGTAAATGACAAAAAATGCAGTGCCTTTGTTTATCAACTGAATGCAGGAACTCCTAGGCTCTTATCTAATATACAAAAGCCAGTGGGCAGTTCTGGCTATAAGAAAGCTGCAACTCCTTTAGTCACATTAGCAGAAAGAGCGCAGATGAGAAACCAGGATTTTCCATTTACAAGCAGTGGCATCACTGAAGTCAGCAGATTTATCTGCTAAAATTACAGGTCAGATCACTAGCATTGCTAGCAATTTCATAACCAAACATGTACTTAAATCTGTTGTAAAACTGTCCTACGATTCACATGTTGAGCTAAGAAAGAATTAAGGATCCCAAAGAGTGTAAAAGGGTGCGTTGGCCAACAGAAATGAAGATCAGTGCAGAATCTGGGTCACTCTCGGGTCTAATGCAGGCAGTAAGAAAACCCAAGTGTCCAGAACTTTGGTAACACCATGGGTTGGCTTTCTCTACTGAAGAGATGAGGCAATGCTGTGTCGAACCCACTGCACAGGGCAGTGTATGTTTTCTTGCACAGGAGCTGAGGTCAGGCTCCCCCTACCCTCTCTTCCTCTCTTCTGTCACAAGGGAACAGGGAGAGTATTTGGCACTGTCTCCCTTGCATGTGAACAGCATTTACAAAGGAATGGGGCAACAGACTTTCGGAAGATGCTCAAGCATCAGATGCTGATCTTTACCAAGGTCGAGGATCAAGGAAACCCTGTGAATAAGACCTGTTCCTAAAGCATGTAGGCATCTCTATGTGTTTCTGGCCTAAGTATTCTGCTTTTCTGACCAAGGTGGCCGATGGATAAGTTTGTTGCCTCTAGTCAGGTGCCTAAACTTCCCTGAAGAGGGAAGGGGCTCATTCAGAGAGTTAAGTTAAACCTCTCTGGTGGATCTAGAGAGGGTGAGCACGAACCCTCTGCTTCCCAAGCTTTCAGACCAAAGCAGGCAGGGCTCATACAGGCACAAAGGACGCATCTGGGCTGGAGAGGCTCACTCAGGGAGACAGTAAAAGCTGGCAGCTAGAACAAACTCCGTGCAGATCAATAGCAGGCTTAGTCCTTTCCCCGGAGAATCCAGAGCTGGCCTTTGTGTCATGTTTTGAGTGTGGATACAGGGAAGTTTCTGAGACACTGAGTTTGCTGGACATTTCCATGGGAGCTTTGGCTCTCACTGACAGGTCTTGCTGACCAACACTGACGTGTCCTGGGCTGCTCAGTGGGAACCTAGCCAGGTCGGAGCTCACTGAGAGCAGGGAGTACAAATTTTGATGTCTCCACCCTTCCCTTGGCATTACTGGAGCTTCACCTGACAGATTGTCTCCCACCAAGTTCCACAGTCCCTGGCCCAGCCTGTCTCAGTTCTCTAGTTTCCTAGGCCTTGGCTTCTCATTCCTGAAGTCCTTCTCTTTAGCCAATGGCGTTACAATCCCTCCACTCAGGATGCTGGTGCAGCAGCGCTCCTCAAAGAGAAGACAAAGAGGATTACACAGCCAGGCATGTTTTTGTCATAGGAATGCCAGGAATAACCCACTCCGTTCTTGCAGCTAAATGTTGTTACCTAGACTGTGCAGTGATGTGACCTGCTTAGCTTTAGGTTGGTCTGTTAACCTTCCTTCATTTACCAGTGCTAAGCCCCAGGTTTAACAGGCAAACCATGGCTGACTTACGAATGTTCTCACAGCCAGGTGGGCTGCCTGCACAGCCAGCAAACCCAGAGGCTGGGAGCAAGCAAGTGCTTGGGGACGCACGTAGCTCCAGTCCCCCTGTGTGAGCTGAGGGGCTAAGGGAGGAAGCTTTTTATTGTGGGTTGTTTTTTTTTTTTGGTCTTAATATTAGGACTGTCAAGCACACACCTTCCTTGATTTTGTAAGGAGAAACTGTGTCTAGGAATCATCACGATCTGCTTACTGAAAGTTAAGACATATTAATAAAAGAGCTTTGAAGACTTTCACATTTAGCACAGAGAGGGAATTTGCTTATTAGTCATTAATTTGTACACATGCATTTAAACCAAAATTTTAGGCAGCCAGGCCGGAACATCGTTTGTTGTTGCAGGGCTCATTTCTTGTGCTTTTTGGGTGAACATCACCATTACTGAGCCAGGCTGTCGGCCACCACCGGCCGAGATTCCGAGGGCTCAGGAGTGGCCGTGCGGGGCGTCCCGGGACCCGGCACCGCTCTCGGGCGCGGGTGCTGGCCCCGAGCAGCACAGCCCGGGGCAGCGCAGGCCGGAGGGGTTCGGTGAAACCATGAATTGTGATGTGGAGGCACGCCTGTCACCTCGAAGAGGCAGCAGGGCCTCACGGCTGGGCAGGGACGGCGGTGTCGCCGCCCCGCTCCCCGCCGTGGCTCAGGCGGTTACTCAGAGCCGGAGCGGGGAACGCTGCCGCGCGGGGCGGGCGGGCCGGGGCCGGGCACCGAGATGACGCCGCTGCCTCTTCCGCGATGGGGGGGAGCGACTCGGAAGGAAAACGCCTGAGTGACGCCGGCGCAGGCACGGCTCCGGGTCGCGTTTCCTGCGCCTCCCGCCGCGATTCGCGCCGGCACCGGGAGGTACGGCCCGAACTGCGCCGCCTCAGGC